GACGCACAAGCCAAGGGATGGGTGTGTGTTGTGTGTGTGTGTGTGTGTGTGCAGGCGTTACCTGGCAGCGTGATTGAGGAGGTCGACTGGGCCACATGTGAGTGTGTGAGAGGGAGGGAGGGAGGGACCCCATGTGCCTTGTGTGTCTTGCAGGTGTGCCGATGTGCGACATATTCCAGCCCACCTACTCATGGGGACGTGTGTTCATGTGCGGAGACGCCGCACAGATGCACTCGCCATTCTTCGACGAGGGCATCAACACAGGCATACAGGTGAGTGAGGTGGATGGCCCTACCCACACACGCACCCACAACACAATGAATCCATCGTACATATCTCTTCCGTCCGTCAGGATGCCTCTAACCTGGCGTGGAAGCTTGCAACGGTCGTGGCGAACCAGGCCGACTGGTCGCTGCTCGACACATACGTCACCGAACGGCATCAACGGAGAAAGAGTGAGTGAGCCAGCGAACGACCCACCGGCACCGCAGTGCGTCCATCCATCCACCTGTGTGTCATGTCTGTCTGTCTGTCTGTCTGTCCGTGTGTGTGTCTATGGGGTATGTATGGCGCAGTGACGTCGCTGGAGAGCTACATGGATGCGATGAACGGTGGGGGGCTGCTGTGGAACATGCGCACCATCCTGCCGACGGCCAACTCCCAGTGGCTGGGGCCGTCACTGGTCGCACTGCAGAAGGACAGGCAGTACCCAATACACAGGCAAGCACAACACAGCAGCATAGCAGCTCATCTGCACACTCAATGGTGACAATTGCTTGTCCCTCTCTCTCTCTCCCCGTTGTGTTCAGGCGGTGTGTTGGTCGGGAGCAGATCAAGGGCAGCGTGCCACCGGGGTCACGGGCTCCTGACGCCAAGCTCGCGCTGGTCGACGACAACCAGATCAGATTCGTCAGGCTGCACCAGGTACGCCGCACAGAGTCATCGCATCTGCGCATCCATCCATCGTTCGTGTGTTGTCTTGTCAGGCGATAGCCCGTCCGTCGCACACCCTGCTGCTGGCGCTGCGTGTGCCGGCCAAGGGCGAGGAGCTCGGCACGTCCTCCCTCTCGTCGGCCAGCCGGCCCAAGCGCTCATGGTTTGGCGGCACCTGCTACATCCCGCCGATCGGCCTCCCAGACCCCATCGAGCAGGACGGTGCGCGAAACACCACCACCACCACCACACACAGCACACATTGCAGACCAGCCAAACACACACGTCCCTTTGTGTGTGTATGTGTGTGCCTGGCTGCAGAGATAGAGGTGTCCGGTGTGTTGCACGACCTGCTCAAGCTGGGCGTGAAGCTGCAGACCAAGTACTACGAGGCCTGCCGCGACGACGCCACCCCCAAGACGCAGCCCTCCTCGCCCATCACGCCCTCTCGCCCGAGGACAGCTGCGGCAGGGGGCGGTGGGGCCAACAGCCACACGAGCACCCACCATGCGCAGTCGTCCCCCACGACGAGCAACGGCAGCGACCCCCAGAGGCCCGAACACCAGCGGCCGGGCCAGGAGCTGCAAGTGCTGCTGGTCTTCAGCACCGGCAGGGCCACCCTCGTGCCGATGGTAATTAACGAGGAACGAACACATGGCGGGATGGGCGGGATGCATGCTTGTCGTCACGTCGCCACCACGTGCGCTGCGCATTGTGTGTGAGTTGAGTGTAGGTTGAGGGCGTTGGTCGGATGAGCACCATTCTGAATGCGATCAAGAAGAAGTTCAAGGCGTCGTTTGAGCCGCAGGAGTGCAGCGTTGATCTCCAGCTGGCGTGGGACGTCGAGGGGGAGGTGCTGCAGAGGTACAAGTTCAACCTCTCGCCCTTCAACGCCGGACAGCCTGCCGCATTCTGCCTTATTCGACCTGACGGCATCATTGCTCACCACGGTAGGTGGTGGGTCACCGGTGGGGAGGAAGGAGATCTGTGCATATTGAAATCACTCACTCATGTGTGTGTGCTGTGACGTGACCTGACCTGTGTGTGCTGCAGGCCACCCCTCTGACGCATCCATGGAGGCGCCGGTCATCGGCTATTTTGACCGATATGAATGAGTGAGCGACGCGCATAGAATATGAGTGATTGATCTTTGTTCGTTTGTACGGTACGAGTGTAAGTCTGTCTTGTAAGTCAATTCACTTTTCGGCGGAGGGCCGGCGGGCGGGGAGGTTTTGCGTGTGTGTCTTTTCCTTCCCCCCTCCCTCCCTCCCTCCCTCCCTCCCGCCCACCATCCATCCATCCATCCATCCAGTTACTGATTCGGTCTTTTTCGTGTCCAATGTTGGAAGTCTGGCTGTCTGACTGAGTGCCATGAGCCGAATGGCTAGCTGCCTGTGAGGTGCTGTTTGTGTGTGCAAGAGAGAGGGAGACTGGGGGTGCTGTGTGCCGTGTGTCGTGTGTGCGCGTCTGGGTGGATTGGTAGTAGCTGTGTGTGGACGGACAACTAACTGAGCGGGCAGACCCCTCTCCCTCACTCACGAATTAGCGCGGCCTTGTGGGTGCGTGCGCACGTACGTGTGTGTCTGAGTGTGTGAGCAGAGAGCATTCTATCCTCTGACGGCCGATTGACCGCTCTTTGCGGCCGGCCCTTGCTGCGCCTGGGAGAGGCTCTCTTTTATCCGAGGGAGGCCCTTTTGTGTCTGTGCCTGCGCGCACGTCCTCATCAGGCCAACTTGTGTGTGTAGTGTTCCTCCTCCCTCCCCCCCTCCCCTCCGTGTGCCAACGGCGGCGCACGAGAACTCACAAAAGAAAAGACAGACAGACAGACAGAGTATCGTTTTTCGTTCCTGCCTGCAGCTGGATTTTATATTCACACCCGCCCGCCTTGCTGGTGTGTCTGTATCCCTGCATCCCTGCCTGCGTGCGGGCAACATCATGCATAACCAACCAGCCCCCTCCCCGCCCCTGCTGTTTTTCGTCCCTTCCTTGCACGCGATATGCTGCCGCCGTCGCGCGCAGCAAGCTGCTAGGACCCTCAACAGTTGACTGACGTGTGAGGCTGTCCAATTGACATATCGATATGTATTTTGTTGTATTGGGTGATGATGATGACTGGGTGGGTGAGTGCATTCGGGAGCCAGGGTGGGGGCGGGGATGCGTAAGTGCGTGCGTAAGGAAGCGTAAGTGCGTGGCTGCGCTGCATGTCGGCTCTGACTGGGTGGCTGGGTGTGTGGCTGGCTGAACTTCTCTTCTCTTCTCTTCTTTCCACTTCTCGTGTGTGTTGTCGCTCGCCTGCTCGCTCCCTTTGTCTCTCGATGCCTGCCTGCGAAGTGGTCGGTTGGTTGGACGGTTCTGGCGTGTCTCTGTCTGTCGAGGCAGTCAAGACTCAAGATCTTGAGGGCGTTCTGACATTTTATCTAGTGGATGCACGCGCGGATGCTCCATTGCATTGGTGCGTGTGCAAGTTGGCGACGTTGAGCGTTTGCAGTCAGTCAGTCGGAGCTCATGAGGGAAGCTATATGCTTGTATACATGGCTGCAATGGACAGTCCGTCCACACGCACCTTGAGTGCTTACATCACGGTCCCCTTGCACCCCACCCCCACCCCACCCTTGTCTGCGTGTGTCGGTGATGCCGTGTGGTGGCTTGGCTGACCAGTGAGAGTTGCATGCCGAACTCGCCCCAGTAGAATGTCTCCGAGCGCAACTCGCCTGCACCACACAATACACAAACACATACGCACGACACTCAGTTTCCTCCCTCCTCCCTCCCTGACTCACCTCTGTATGGTGTCAGGTCCGTGAAGGCAGCATCATGCGCATACCTGGGGAAACACATATATACTGTACACTCAGATACAGACAAATCGCGTTGACCCACGTGTTTTGAGTCGGCATTCGTGGTGTGCTTCTTGTCAAGCTGCAACTGCAACTGCACCCTCATCCATCTCTCCATGCCTTTTGCGCAATGGGAGTGCCGGGTCTCGCGAGATAAGCAGCTTGACGAATATAAAATGGAGGCAGCGCTGCAGCAATGGCTGAAGAGAGATACACAGACAGATGGGCGATCTGTAGCTGGCCCTGGGCGGGAAGAATGGAGTGCGGGAAAGATCGTGTATGTCCAGTGCCCTCATCTGGTGCTGGGCCACTGCTCAATGTGCCGTTTGTGTACAAGGTGTCTGGGGATGAGGCGGATGTTGCGGCGGCGGCCGCAGAGCTGCTGCTGATGCATCACACACATCACACACGCACGTGGATTGGTGGGTGCATGTCTGCGTGTGTGTGTGTGTGTGTGTTCGTCTCCCTCACCTGGTACTGGTGGGTATGTGGTTGGTGTCTGGTTGAGGCATCCATGCGAGTGCTGCTGGGGTCGACCTTCGCACCGGGGTCATCAGCTCCCGCTGGCTCAAGCTGGGGACTAATGTGCAGCAGACAACGACAGAGACACCAATGTGGTGTGGCTGTGAGTATGTCATACGTACGTACGTACCTCCGAGGGCGTAGATCATTGTGGTTACGCAGATTCTCGAGTTGGCCTCCTGCATCGCACTCGTCACACGGTCGGTCGTCAGGAGGCGATCCCACTGATCATTGACAGACAGACAGACAGACAGACGTGTGTGTGTGGCTCCTTCCGTGGTTTCTTTCGCACGCACTTTTTGATGTCCACCTCCCCCATGTCGCATGTCTGCACACACAGCAACGGCAGCCCGTGGTCTCCGAAAACATCGGGTAAGCGCCAAGATGCGCCTCGTCGATGGATTTCTCCTGCACACACACACATATACAGCGTCTACGTGCACCATTGCATATCTTCTTGTTCCCGGAAGAATGTCTTGTCTGCGATGTGGGTGGCCCTCGACATCCATGAAAAAACAGAAGTCGAAATCAAAAAGCTTGAGAGTGCCATCCGCTGCGAACATCAAATTGTCTCCCTTCATGTCACGGTGGACCACCTGCACGAAGACAACCAACAGGTAAACATGCTTTGTTCCAAGGCCGCCTCCCTGTCTCTCCCTGCAGTCTCTGCCTCTCTCTATTTCCGCCTTCCCCACTTTGTGATCGTGTAGGTGTTTTATAAGCCGGGGCGCCCATACAACAGCCCTTCAGGGACGCTTCTCCTTCCGATGTGGAACTCGGCGCACAAAGCGATGGATATAAGCAGCTTGACGAATATAAAATGGAGGCAGCAATGGCTGAAGAGAGATACACAAAATTCAGGCCAAAGCTGGGGCGCCCACTTGCAGCAATATCCTCACGCACCAAATGGTCCAGTGTCTCGCTGAATTTGGTCTTTCTGTCCTTACGGGGCAGCTGCGTGTTAATGGCGACCATGGCCTTGCTCATCAGCAGCTGGTCACTCGCGCTGGGGCCCGCTGCCGCTTTTGATGTATCTGATGACCTTGAGGGCGTTGTGCTCCGACGGCAGTCACTGTCTCTTGGCCTTCTCCTTCTGTTTGCCGCGCTCCACCTACTTGTGCAGCTTGTCATGCGTCTCTGTGCCTGTTGGATACCTAGACAGAGAGGCACGGAGACGCAAAACAGGAAAGGAAAGGACACAACTAGCCGTATCTCGATTGGCGCCTACCTCTCGCTTGCCGATCGCCTATCTATCTCTCTGTGAACAACGACCATACCACCCATTGCCACCAACACCTAACCACAGCCAACCAGTCTCAAACCACAGCCAACCAGTCTCAACACACGCACCACACCGCACATGGATGGCGTCTAGGCATCCTCCTCATCACCCTCCTCAATGGTCTCGAACCGCACTCCGCCCACCACACTGCCGCCCAACCGCCACCCTCCCCCGTCTGCTGCTGCACCACTACTCGATGCGCCGTTGGTGTGCATGGGGTCTGTGAGTGAGGGGGATGCTGCGGCGGCGGCAGAAGTGCTGCCAGTGCTGATACATCCATCACACAGACGCACACCCCCATATGCGAATGGGCGGGTGTATGTGTGCTGATTTGATCTCCCTCACCTGGTACTGGTGGGTATGTGGGTGGGGTCTGGTTCAGGCATCCAAGCGAGTGCTGCTGGGGTCGACCTTCGCACCGGGGTGATCAGCTCCCGCTGGCTCAAGCTGGGGACTGATGTGCAGCAGACAACGACAGAGACATCGATGTGGTGTGGCTGTGAGTATGTCACGAGGGCGTATATGGTTCGGAGAGGCAGATTCTCGAGTTGGCCTCCTGCATCGCACTCGTCACGTAGTCGGTCGTCAGGAGGCGGCCCCAGCCCTTGCCGCTCCCCCTGATCATTGACAGACAGACAAACAGACAGACAAACAGACAGACAAACAGACGTGTGTGTGTGGCTCCTTCCGTGGTTTCTCATTCGCACGCTCTTCTTGATGTCCGTATCTTGCAGGTCGCACGTCTGCACACACAGCAACGGCAGCCAACGAATGACCGGTCGGCTGCTCGCACATATGCCCCTCACTGACTCAGTGACTGGCGCACCTGGAGTATGCGTGTGTTGCCTGGGGCGTCATTGGCCATGACGCTGAGCTCCAGCAAGAAGCAAGAGTGCACTGATGGGGCGACCAGCTTGCCCAGGTTGCCCGAAAACAGCAGGTAGGCGCCAATATGCGACTCTTCGACGGCTCTCTCCCGCACATACACACACACATACAGCGTCTGTGTGTGTCGGTGATGTGGTGTGGTGGCTTGGCCGACCAGTGAGAGCTGCATTCCGAATTCCCCCCAGTAGAATATTTCTGACCGCAACTCGCCTGCACCACACAACACACATGCACACGACACTCAGATGTCTTGTCCGGTTGTGTGTCCTTCCCTCGCTGGCTGACCTTGATACGGTGGCAGGTCCGTCACTGCACTGTGGCCGGCCCCTGCAGGTCTCTGGGCAGCATGATGCGGCCGCGACCACTCGACACGCCGTCCACGTGCAAGGCTATCTCGGCAAAGTCGTCCAACCAATCTACACACACACACACATCCACAGCCAAAGAGGCATCAAGCAAGAGCCAATCCCCAACCATCTGTGCACATATATTCCTTGTTCTTGACGGCCCACTTACCAGGGTGGTTCTGATAGACCATCTCAGTAGAGACACCGCCTTCATCAGGCACCATGCCCACACCTGGATTGCCTCGACCGTCCTCGGCACCACCATCGCCCTCGGGCCCCTCGTCCCCACCCTCCCCCTCGCCGTCATCAGCTATCTCGCCCTCCTCGATCTCATCTTCGCCCTCCTCCTGCCCACCACTGACGTCGCTCTTCTCACTGTCAGTGTCGGGGCAAATAGTCCGCTGAGAGGGGTCCTTCAGCGTGGCCAACACTCGCGCCTGATGGATGGCGCACAGGCATACAGACAGAGAGACACACTAACATGTGATAACCTCGCTAATCCGTTCATCGTGTCTCTCGCACATGCATGTACCAGCTCATTTATTGATGAATTGCGCAGCTGCTTTAGGTCCACGTCAGCAATCTCCCGCCTGGTAAACAGCCGATCCTGTCTGTGTCTCCCACGTCTTTCGTCGTGTTGGGCAGCTTTGACGCGCAAAGAGATGGATATAAACAGCCCGACGAATATAAAATGGAGGCAGCAATGCCTGAAGGGATGGAGACACAGAGCTATACGTTCCAGCGATTCACTTGCGCTCCCCCACTTACCGCGATTCAGCGCCTTCTTTCTGTGTGTGATCTCACGAGACACCCCCATGTGGTAGCGGATCTCCTTATGGAGCTTGTTGACCTCTTCGACGAGCAGCTCTACCGCGATGGCCGTCGGGAGAGCGTTCATGGCCGTCAGCGATATGGTGTTGAGCTTCTGGCAGTAGGCGATGTGACGGGCCAGTATCTCAGTGGTGCTGCGATCTTCACTCGCCACGCACAGCTGCCCGATGGCCTGGACAGCGTGTGAATCGGGGTCCACACCACGCCACATCATCTCGTGCAAAACCCGACGAACAAGGGCCATGTCCGCTGAAGGGTCCGTCAGCGTGGCCAACACACGCGCCTGATGGATGGATGGATGCCACACAGATTAGATGAGGGAAAACACACAACACAACGTCCAGGCAAGCCTGCCAATGTATGTAATGTGTCAGTCATTTCGCTTGTGTCCGTGCGGTGCGTACCATCTGGTTCAAGGCCGTATCGGTCAACTCGTCCAGATCCACGTCCACGTCAGCCTCCTCCCCCACCCTCACCCTCCCCGTCACTCCCCGTCCTTCCAGACCGCTGCGATCGCTGCCTTGACCGGCTGAGCGAGAGGGTTCTCACCGGTTGCCTCAAAGGTGGGCCTGAAGCGCTCGTAGTCGAGTTGGAGGCACCTCAGTGCAAAGGTCATCTCAACGGTGACCTCGGGCCGTAGAGCCGTCCGAGGGTCGCGCACGTAGTTGACGAGCTCGTGGAAAACGGCCGTCTGCAGGGGAGGGTCGCCCGTCTTGAGGACGGCTGTCGCGAGGGAGTACTTCCGGTCCCGCTTGGCCCGCTGAAGCAGTGTGAGCCAAAGTCTTGACGTCGTGCCCGTTGCTGCTGGGTGCGGGTGCCGCAGCCGCAGCCGCTGACTGGCCTGCACAGACACAGACAGACAGCACAGCAGACCGATAGATACGCATAGACAGAAGTTACCGATGGAGAGAACCATCCATCTTTGCAGCCGACTCGCAAGGCTGCTGTGGTGTCCTTTGCTCTCTCTTCCGTGCAAATGCAACTGCCTCCTTCTCACTGCCTGCCACCCCGACTCTTTCTCTTGTGCATCGGGCGTTCGCGCACCTTCGGTGGTGGTGGTGGGTGCTCCTGCTGCACTCGCATTGCCGTTGCTGCCGCTCGCCTGTCCACTCAATGTGGCCATGGCTAGAGTTGAGCTCTCGTTGAAATGAAACAAACGTCGAAAGGAACTAACACTACAAGTGGTAGAGCCACCCACACCTCAGGCGTGCCTCGTGGCTGGTTGCTCACCTCAGCGTTCCAGTGAGCGGCGTCTCTTCGCTGAGGTGGGCCGGTGGTGCCGTAACGGGTGCCGCAGTAGGAGGGGTCGGCTGGACGGGCCTCCCACAGTGGCGATCCACCTGCAGCGGATGGAGTGTGGGGTGGGCACCGTGGGGTGGGGGGCGAGAAGGTGACAAAGACAGACAAAGACAGATAAAGACAGGTATGTCCTGAGTGCATATCATATGAGTGCTCCACCTTGTCGAAGTCGTCGTCAATCTGGCGGAGCTCCTCATCCATCTCAACGTAGACCTGAGCACAACACACAGACAAACAGACAGACAGACAGACAGACAGACAGACGGACAGACAGACGACGGCACCAAGGAGAGAAAGTGGCCGAGCATTCTCGCTTTGGCCTCGCGGATCTGACAACCACACGCATCAGATACACGAGAATTCACACACCATGCATCCTACTCGCTGATATTCAGGCGCTTGAGAAAAGACAAAGGACGAAGCCTTCGTACTTCTGGATTGGAACCAACGGCACTAGGATCGCTGCATGAACGGTCGAAGTGTGAGTGTATGCATGTGCATAAAGCAGTGCCGTGATTTACCGCAGCAGGCTTTTGTCAGCTTCGGCTTGAGGACTTTGCACAGCTTTTCAGTGTCCAGCTTCGTGAAGTCTTCGACTTCCTGCAGAGCAGGCAGGAAATATTGCCGAACAGGTGTACACGTACATCAGCTTGTTGTCGAGTTTCTCTTTGGTGCAGTCCCTCTGGATTGCTTCGCTGATCCTGAGGGCATGTTCGGGTATGGAAGATTGCTTGCAGAGGCAAAAGCAATATATGCAGAGGGAATGTTGATGCTGTCTGTCTTCCTGATGGTTGGCTGTGTGCATGTGCCTACCTTGTCAATCGCCCTCTCGATACCTGGACAAGAGACAAGGTGTGGTCAATTGTGTTGATGTGCGTGGGTGTGCGTGGGTGTCTGCTCCCTGGGTGCTGCATTGGCCCGCATTCATTCGCTGCGATTTTGGAGAGTACACGAATATGCGCACACGGCGGTCAGGGCGCACCTACTTGATACAATCCTCGGAGAGAGAGCGCCGACACAGGATAGGTGCTGGACGAGGGGCGAGCGTACATAGGGTAGTGCACCTACAGAAAATATAGCAGGTGACGGTGTAAGCAGGAAAAGAAGGACACCAGTTTTTTTCTCTTTGTCGTGGTTCTCGTCTCTTCGTGCGAGCTTTTTCTCGTCGTCGCGAAATAGCTCGCAACTGAGGAGGGGAAACGTGTGCACGATGGTAGGAAACACACGGCAGAGAGGCCACGCCATGACACGTACAGTAGCCAGGAAGGAAGGCAACTTCAGTCAGAGATCTCCACCGCTGGCTGTGTTCGCCTCGGTGGAGGGTGTTCACGATGCGGGGAGGCCTCTCACAGCCGTACGTACGACACTCACGTGCCGTGTCTGTGTGTGCTTGTGTGTTGTCTGTTCCTCAGTCGATTCAGTTGGCGAATCAGGACTTCCAGCACATTTTGCGTGTGCTCAACACGAACGTGGATGGCAAGCAGAAGGTGCAGTTCGCCGTGACGGCCATCCGTGGCGTCGGGCGCCGCATCTCCAACCTCGCCTGCAAGAAGGCCGACATCGACCTCAACAAACGGTACGGATGTCGACACACGCAACGCAAGACGACAGACAGGCAGAGGGAGAGAGGGAGGGAGAGGGCCGCACGCGCACATCTCATCTGTGTGCTATCTATGCTGTGTCTTTCCCACCATCCCATCAGTGCTGGTGAGTTGTCCGCTGAGGAGATCAACAGGATCGTGATGATCCTGCAGAACCCCCTGGAGTTCAAGATCCCCAAGTGGTTCCTCAACAGACAGAGGGACATCAAGGACGGCACTTTCAAGCAGCTCGTCTCCAACCAGCTCGACGCATCTCTCCGCGACGACCTCGAGAGAATGAAGAAAATGAGGCTCCACCGAGGTCCGTCAGCACAGCAAGTCAATCCCCCCTCTCTCGTTCAGCGGCTGCATTCTGGCGTGTGTGTGTGTGTGTGTGCGTGGTTGCGTGTCACAGGTCTCCGTCACTACTGGGGTATCCCTGTGCGTGGCCAGCACACCAAGACGACCGGCCGGCACGGCAAGACCGTCGGCGTGGCGACCAAGAAGAAGTGATGTGTGTGAGGGTGGGCGTCATGGGCTGGGAAGGTGGGTGTGGATGGTGGATGGAGTGGCCTGGTGTGTTATGGGCGGCGCGAGCGGCCTTTCAGTGCTTTGCATGATTCACCCACTGGACGGCTGACTCTTGTCTGTCGCCCTGCCTGGATTGTGCGTGCATGACTTTTGAAGCATGACATGTGACTCTGTCACTCGTGTGTGTCCGCCGCTCGTAAGTAAAAGATGAGGCTCAATCGCTTCCACATGTTCACGTGACGGTCTCTCAAGTTAAGCAGGACACCTCTGCCTTCGTCGCGCATCACACGCATCGATCAAATGGGTTGACAACAAAAAGCCTTCCTTAGACCTCTCTCTACCGACATGCAATTCACTAGACCTCTCTCACCCACATGTGGCACGCCCCACACATCACACGCGCAGCAGCAACCACACGGACCTGGACCTTAGCCACCAAGCAAGCAACCAAGCAAGACTGCGTGGCGTGTTGCCCCTCCCCTATACCCCCCTCCCTCCCTCCCTCTCTTACTCAATCATCTAGTCGATGCCGTGTATGTCAATCACCGGCCGCCCGCGCGATGCTGGTGGCATCACGTCAATGATGGACGATGGGATCACCACCATGTCAGCCAGGCCATCAGCTACAGCAGCAGCAGTGCGTGACACCGGTGGTGCGGCCGACGGCTCGCTGCTGCTGGATGGCGGCTGACCACTATCACCGGCATCAGCGACATCAGCGACATCGGCAGCATCGACACCATCGCCATCGGCGTCAGCGGCTGAGGCCCCTCCCGCCTTGCCGCCGCCCTTTCGCTTGTTGCGCTTCTTCGACTTGCCAGCTGCTGCCGCTGCCGCTGCTGCTGCTGGTCCTGCCCCCTGAGGCTGGTCAATGTCATTGTCAGTGTCGCTGACGTGCTCGCCGATCATCCGCAGCAGCTCCTTCTCGGCCTTCCGCGCCTTGGCCTCCTCAGCCAGGCGCCGCTCCTGAATCTGCCGCTCCTTGTCGGGGTCGACAGGCCGTTCCTGCCGCCGCTGCTGACGCTCGCGGCGCCGCGTGTTGCGCTCGTGCTTGTCCCGCATGCGCTCGACCAACCCTTTGCGGCGAGGGTCGTTCGCGCGGGCATGGTCGAGAAGATCCTCGTCGGACGCTGCCTCGCCGCTCAACCGCTTCGCTGCCGCATCTGCAGACATCCATGCGCACAGACACACCAAGGTTGGCCTGAGGGAGGGAGGGTGTGGGTGAGTCACGCGACGGACGAACCTCTGTCCTTGATGAGGGTGTGGAGCTCGGCTTTGTATTTGATGATCTTGCGCTTGAGCGCCTCGAGCTTCTTGTCGTTGACGTTGGCGTCGGGAGAGGCGAAGTTGGCCGCTTGGTGCTCGAGCCGCTCAAGCAGCCTGCCCTTGACGGTGACAAGATGCTCCTTAACCCTGTAAGTGCGCACGTGGCGGTTGTCGTCCTGGAAACCTAACAACGTCTTGATGCGCTGCACAGACACGCAGACAGAGACATATATATGGTGTGGTGACGTGTGGACAAAAGGTGTCTGTCTGTCTGTCTGTGTCCGCCTTTACTTGGTAGCCCTGGTCGTCTGCTGGGTCAGAGTGCTGGAAGCAGTACTCGCTCGTCGCATTGACCTTTCAGCCACACACACACACGGCGGCAACACATGAGGCACATGACTCCTCAGCCCCTCCAGCCCACAAGGAAGGTACCTTGGTGAGTATGTCATGGTGCAGTGCCCGCAGCGACGTCACAATCGCCCACGGCGTGTGCGTGTTGAAGTCCAGCTTGTCCTTGCACTCCTGACCACAATTGGTGAGGCAGTCGCGGAAGAAGCTCACCAGCGCGTCCTCCTTCTCGGCCTCGGTTCTCTTGCGCATGTCGGCCTCAGTCCACCCCACCATCTCGAGGTAGGCCGTCTTGCGCGTGGCGTTAAGGTCTTTGGTGGCGGGGACCAGGTGCGACTCGACGGCGGCATGGTAGGCCTCTGAGACGGGCTGCATGGCGATGGTGCGCTTGGCCATGTGGGTGGCGGGGGACCACTGGTGGGCTGGCGTGGCGTCGGGCGGCTGGGCCTTGGCGAGGGCAAAGAGGGCGAAAACTACCTCGGACTTGATGCTCTGCTGCTCCAGGTGAACCAGACGGCTGCACACACACACAGAGAGATGCGCACATACGGAGAGAGGGATGCATCTATCTCAGTGTGTCACACACACACACACACACACTCACCTGCAGAACTCATCCTCCCTCTCGCGCATCGGTTTGCCTTTCTGCTGGCGGCCCTCCCGCTCGGCCAGTGCGGCGATGGCCTTGTTCTTGTTGACCTCCTCAGCGAATGACGAAAACACCGTCAGCTCATGCTCGACGATCTCCTCTACGTCAACGGGCGCAACGCCGCCTTTGGTCTGCTCAAACCGCTCATTCAGCCGCCTCTCCACCTCCGTCTCGCCAGTGGACGGCTTCCACGACACCGACATGATGCGGTCCATGGCCGCGGTGATGTCGGCGTCCGTGCGCTCGCCCTCCTTCATGTGGGCCAGCAGCTGGTACTCACCGTGCACCAGGGACTGAGCCAAAGCCTGGTCGGACTTCGGCACGTCCAGCCGCTCCCACAGCAGCTTGGTCAGAGTGATGAGAGAAGCATCCATGGCGGCGGAGGTGAAGTCGGTCATCTGGGTGTCGAGCATGCCCTTGAGCCCCTCACGCAGGACGTTGCGGATGGTCTCCTCGTTGCCCTTGCGGGGCACGGCGAAGAGGGTCGCGAGGATGCCCCCGAGAATGAGGAAGAATGGAGGCGGGTTGCTGTCGAGGTAGTCCTTCATTATGGGGGCCGCGGCGTGAGGGAAGAGGATCGACACGGTGAGGCCACTCTTGCTGCTGCTGCTGCTGCCGCCTTCGGGGGAGGGGCCTGCCGATGCCGATGCCGAGGACGAGGAGCTCCCCGACGGTCCTGGCTGGCCCTCGGGTGCGGGTGGCACGTGTGTGAGCATGGCCGCCTTGACGTCGAGGGAAGGGCGGCGGGGGATGGCGCTCGGCAGGAAGAACGAACCGTCCGTGCCATCCTGACAACGCCATACACACACACACAGACACAGAGGGCACATGGAGGCGGGACAGACAGTCCGGGGGCGGCATGCATGTCCGCTCACCAGGTCCATCTGCAGAGCGGTCAGCAGCACGACCTTGACGATGAAGACGATCTCATCGATGGCCTCCTTGCTGTCGAAGTGCAGGTCCCCGCACAGCGGCATCCAATCGGGGTTGATGACGCAGTCGCGGAAGAACCCCGTGAGACACCGCAGCTTCCGCTTGAGCGGCATCGCCTCGAGGCTCTCCGCCTCGTGCCCCATGACCCTCAGAATCCGGTCGATCTGCGCCACGCCCTCACAGAAGTCATTCGCCCAAATCTGGGCGGCGGCCTCGATCTTGGGCTGCATGGCCTGCTGGTAGGCGTGCACCAGGGGCGTGCAGACCAGCTCCCGGTGCTGCAGGTAGGTGCGCTGCGACCACTGCCGCGGTGGGTCGGCGTCCTCCGGCTGGCACCGTGCGTGCAGCAGCATGAGGAGGAGCATCTGGTCCTTAAGGGCGCACCACTGGAGGCGGCGGAGGTCGGACATGAACATCATCTCCTTCCTCTCCTTCTCGTCGGCGGGCAGCTGCTGGGGCGTGGGCACCTGGTGCGCCGCCGCGTCGGCCGCCATCTCGTTGAGAAGAATCGCTATCTGACAACACACACAAGAGACGCATACATATGAATGGGTGGAGAAGGGGGGCGGGAGGACCATGCGTGGCGTGGCGTGGCGTGACTGACCTGGTCAGGGTACGGTATGCTCTCAGACGCCTTCAGCAGCATGAATGCAAACTCCCGCAGCGGCCCCTCGTCGGACACGTTGATGGGCTTGATGCCGTCATACGGCTTCCACTTCCGCATGAGCGCCTGCATCGCCGCGTCCACCCCCAACTCGCCACCACCACCACCACCACCAGCACCGCCACCACCTACACCCTTCCCACCCTTTTGACTATCATTCGGGGCGCCGCTACCGCTGCTACTGCTGCTGCCGTTCAGCTGCGCCAGCACATCGAAGAGAGTCGTGTAGTGCTCACTCGCGGTGTTGGCGCGGCGGCTGCGAGCCACGAAGGAGATCATAACGAGTCTCATGTCGGTGGTCTCGATGCCGGTCTTGGCGATCCTCGCGAAGCACTGCAGCCCGTCCCGCAGGATCTTCTTCATCTTCTTCTCGTCCTGCCGGCGCGTCAGCGAGAGCACCCCGAAGAGCATCCCGTAGACGGCGAACTTGCCGCCGCCCGGGAAGCTCTGGTACCGCTCGCAGAGGGCCAACACGTCCTGAACCCAGAAGTGTGTGTAGGGATCGTCAGACTGTTTTCGCACCCACTCGAGGCCGATGGCATCGGTGGACATGTCGACTAATTGGGGGACAGCGATTAATGGCGGCAGGGGGCTGTCCGGCTGAGCGTCATGAAACGCGCTGCTGCTGCTGCTGGCAGCGAGAGGCGGAGTGTCATCGGCGGCGGCTGGTGCTGCTGCTGGAGGTGATGAATAGCTATCGGCATTGATGGCCTCGGCTGATGCCGCTGCCGGCATGCTCATGCTCAATGCTTCGCTCGAGTCGCCAAATGGCGAGTCACTGGCTTGCGGCTCCTGACGGAGAAGACGCTCGGTCAGACGGATGCCTTTCTGCATTCCTGCTTCAATGTGCCTACCTTACCTTGTTCATGGGCTTACTTTTTCTTATACTCAGCATCAGGGAAAAGCTCGACAAATTGCGAGCTGAGCTTGCAGAGGCAGAGAGAAGCGCCTTCCCTCTCCCGCGTCGCGAGGCTGCTGCCGTCTTGATGAGATCTGCCCTTCATTCTATCCATCCATCTGTGTGTGGTTAAGAGATGGCTGACGGCACTGGCGAGATGAGTCCGCTGGTGTACCAGCTGGACGGGCAGACGGCGCGCATCCCCTCTGCCGGCATCGACCCCAACGCGTCGCTCCTGGATGTCCTGCAACACACAGGCCGCACAGGTGGGTGGAATAACTGCCACTCACACAAACGCATGCAACGTGCCGATGATGCATGTCTGTCTGTCTGTCCCTCTGCTGCTGCCGCTGCTGCTGCCGCTGCAGAGTTTGAGTGTTTCGCGGCGCTTGTGTCGTTCCCCGACCGACTTCACGGCGGATGGACCACCCCTCCCACACCCACTTACACACGACTGGTGTCCGCAGTGGCCGTGCAGGGCGCCACCATCACCACGCTGCAGCACCTGCCCGCGGAGCTGCAGACCATGGCCGAGAAATGGGGCGGTGTCGGTGCGGCCGTTGCTGTGGGTGCGGCGGGGGTGCTGGTGAGCGGTGGCGCTTCGTCTGCTGAGGGGCTGATGGACAGCGAGGCGATGCGCGACTGGGTGGCGAGTGTGCCGTGCGACAGAGATGGTGAGTCAGGTAGTGGAGTGGGAGGTAGTGGGAGGGATGCATGGCATAACGTGATGCATGCGTTCGTTGACGTATCTATCGCTCAGATGCGACGGATCTGTGCAAGGCGCTGTCGTTTCTCGCGACCCTCGACACCTCCTTTCTGGCCAAGGACATCGCCGACAAGACCAAGGCGCCCCTCTCGCTCATCGAAACACTACTCCGCCCCACGCCCACGCCCATCCCGCCATCCTCATCGCTGCAGCACCTGCCGGCGTTCGTCCACCTGCCCACATCGATGCAGCAGCTGCAGGCCACTCTATCCGCCACCCCGGCCCCTTCATTCGAGCTGCTCTACGGCAGCAGCACGTTCGACCACACCTCACTCACCGAAAGCCAGGCGCGCATTGCCGTGGGCGACCTGCCGGCCATGCGCGGCATCGACTCGCAGACGACTCACGTCACCTTCGGCGCGTCGGTGGTGCTGCAGCAGGTGATGGACACGATCGAGCGGCACGACCGGGCCGACATGAAGGCATCGCACTTCGACGCACTGGCGGACCATCTGCGTGTGGTTGCCCCGAGAGGTCTGAGGAACGTGCTTACGGTGGGCGGTGCTGTGCTGCGTGAGCTGAGCGGGTCCAGCAGGGGCGGCGCGGCCGCCGACCTGCTTCCCGCTCTCGTCACATGGCAGGCATCCGTGCAGTTCTACACCACAGCCGACCTGTCGTCATCCGGCGAGCAGCAACACCCACAGCCACAGCCGACATCCCTGCCCATCGAGGCCTTCCTCGACCGAATCGGCTACCCCAACAACAAGACCATCAAATGGAGCGACTACCTGCTCGTGTCGGTCACCCTGCCGCTGCCAGAGCCGATCGACGCCGCACAGTCGCTCTATCGTGCCTACAGAACGGCATCGCCGGTGCGGACGGGGCGGCCGGTGGGCAGCGTGTGTTGCTGGGCAGCATTGGATGCGGTGACGCGGCAGCTGCGTGAAGTGCGGGTGTGTGCGAGCTGGGAGGGTGGGATGGGGCGGCTCGGGCGGGTGGAGGAGTTCCTGCAGGGGTATGGGCTGACCGAGGAGACTGCATGGGAAGCGCTGAAGATCGCCAACGCACAGGTCAGGTGTGGTGGATGGATGGATGGATGTGATTGAATGATGTGTGTGTGGCCTGCTACTGGGATGGATGTCAGATGAGCGGTCAGGTCCCCAGCGGCACTCAGGCGCTGCTGTTCAAGTTCCTGGTGCTGCTGGGCGGGGAGGTCTCCCGCGGCTCCTACGACGACACACACCTCGCCGCCCCCTCCCCACGATTCATCACCGCCGTCCTGCCATCCCTCTCACTCACCCCCACACCGCCCCTCCCGTCGATCTCCATCATGGCACAGCAACAAGGCCACCAATGGCAGCAGATCTCACTCACCGGTGCCAAGCTTGGCGGCTCTGTGGCGATGGCAGCGGGGTGCGCTGAGGGTGCGGCGGTTGAGCGGCTGAAGGCTTCTATAGGATGGGGCGACCGGTGTGCGGCGGTTGACAAGCACAACGGTGACAACCGGTGGCGCAAGAGGGGCGTGGCTGTCAAGTCGGCACAGATGGCAGGGCGTGACGTGGCTGCTGCCGCAGAGGTAGGTGAGTCGTGGATGGATGGTCCGTCTGCGGATGAATGGGATGGATGGGCACATTGCTTGCATTTTGCTGTGTGTCATCATCATCCTGTGTGTGGTGTGGTGTGTGTCAGGTGGAGGTTGATGCTCTGACGGGTGAGCCTGTCATCCAGCGGCTGGATATATTCGCTGTCATCCCTTCGCAGAAGGGGGCAGACGCGGAGAGGTGGGTGAGTGGGAGGGTGAGTCACATGCTGTTATCACCAAATGTGCGGTGGGTGTGTTCTCTCACCCTGCCTGATCAGTCTGCATCGCTGCCCATATGTTGCCGAGGCGCTCCTGAAGGTCCGGCGAGCCGCACACACAACACAGACACAGCACAGCACAGCACAGCACCCCGCAATAAATACGTGTGTCTGTCGTCGTCTTCATGCTTCAGGGATTTCTGTCATCGTGCGGCGGCGCCGTCGCTCTCGACCCCGCCCACACCGAGCAGGCCTTCTTGACATCAACCGCATCTCTGCCACAGTCAGCACACCGACACACACAGACACCGCACAGACACTCAGACAGACCCAGGTGGTGGTGTGTCTGCAGGGAAGTGACCGTCTACATGTCGCAGCAGCAGCGGGAGGGCGACAGCGCATCCGTGGGTGAGGGCGACTGGCTGCCCGTCCCCCGCCAATTGGGGGCTGTGCTCGACGAGGCCCTCAGTCACGCGTGCGGCAGCTCGGCTGCCGAGAAAGAGATCGCCCAGCCCACACAGGCGGTGGAGTGGTCGCTTCCCGCCATACTCAAGGTCAGTCACCCGACGACAGACGCCCACATTCACTTCCCTTCACACACAGGCCGACACACTCATCCATCCCTCCCTCCCTCCCCCCCTCTCTCTCTCTCCTTCTTTCATGTTTTAGGCGTGCGAGACGTCCATTCCTGATGATTTGCGTCTCAGGTCAGTGAGCCGGCAGTGGGGTGAGAGCGGCCGCGATGTGGAGAGCGGCCGGCGCATCCCCGAGAGGGTGCAGGTGGCCATCGCTGGCGGGGGACTGGGGGGGCTCCTGCTGTGCGCCGCACTCAGGTGAGAAACTGAGCATAATAGGGGTGGATGTGGCTGCACTGCAGTGCATTGTGTGTGTGGTGTGGTGTTTGCCGATTATAGGAAGCGCGGTATCGATGCCCATGTGTTTGAGCGCGCACCTGCGTTGAGAAATGCATCACAGGCACGAAACGAACAAATCACACCATCCTACCATCCTTGCACGTCGGCGTGGATGTCTGTCTGCTATGTGTGCGTGTGCGTGCGTGCGTGTGTGTGTGTGTGTGTGTTGTGTGTACCACACCCTGCCAGGGTATCTTCATGGCCGACGCCAACGGCATCAAGGCCATCCGCATGGCCTACCGCGACATCGCCGACGAGTTCGAGCAGACCGGCGTTTTCTGCCCCTCCTCACAGCTGGTCGTACGCAAAGACGAATTGCCGGTAAGCATAAACAACCCCACCCCCCACGCACATGCCCCCCACGCACATGCCCCTTTCCGGCTGTGGTGGCTGTGTTGGTCAGGAGACGCGCACTGCGTTGAAGCGCGATCAGTACGTCGACAAGTTCGGCGCCCCGTGTGTCATGATGCGGTGGACAGCCGCTCAGAACACCTTCGCGTCTCACGTGCCGTCGGATGTGGTGCACTGCGGCCATGGCGCCCGCGGATGGACCGAGACCGAAGAGGACGTGTGTATGCTCTTCGAAGGACGGCCCGACGACTACCACGTCAAGTAAGGACATCACACACACCATGATCCGACCCTCAACATCCAGCACACCATTCACTCACAAAACACTCCATGTGTGTCTTGTCTTGTCTTGTCTTGTGTGTGGTGGTGCGGCGGCTACCTTACAGGGCGTCTCTAGTGGTCGCAGCTGACGGCTCCTTCTCAGCTCTCCGCCCGCACATCGTGGCGCAATCGCGCAGCCAGCAGCAGCAGCAGCAGACGGCTGCGAGCACCCCTGAGGAGATGGCGGCGGCTGGGGGCAAAGGTGGCGGCCTGAACCCGTTTGCGGCGTCGGTGCTTGTGCAGGACCCGCCGCACTACTACAAGAACATCTCATACAATGCCATGATCCCCACTGAGGTCAGCCACGCGGTGGACAGAGAGAGAGAGAGGAGAGCTACGAAAGAGACAAAGATCTACGTGGGCGCGCGTGTGTGTGTGTGATCAGAGCGTTGGTGAGAGGGTGCATGGCGACCATGAGGTGGTCAAGGTCGACAGCAACACACCCTTCCTCTCGGCATTCCTTGTCGACGCCGGCTCGGGTCTCACCTTTTGGCTCGTACGTACGCCCCACACGCCCCTCTGCCCTCTTCGTCACACGGATGGATGTATCTCCCTCCCTCTCTGTGTGTGTGGGGGCATCTATCTATCTGCATGTGTGTGTTGTGCGCAGCTGCGCCTCCCCGCCCCCGATGCCTCCCGCCCCGGCCGCAGCGCCATTGGCCGTCAGGGGGTGCGGCAGCGGCTCCTCAACTACGTCAAGACGGGCCGGCTTGACGGCACTGGTGGAGCGGACTACAGCAGCAAGCACAGCGACATCATGGCGGCCATCAGTGCCACGCCTGAGGAGCAGATCTTCGAGCGGCACATGTTCTCGCGAGACGCCATCGACAAGTGGAGCTCGCCCAGGGTGAACAAGCCGCTCAGACACGCAGAATGGCAGAGTGGCGCAAGGATGCCTCTGTGTGTGTGTGTGTGTGCAGGGTCGTGTGGTGCTGCTGGGCGATTCGGCCCACGCGCCGCACCCATTGGCCGGGCAGGGGGCCAACCAGGTGTTTGAGGACGTCGCCGTGCTGGTGGACGAAATCGGCAAACTGAGAGAGAAACACGGTATTGCCTACTGCCGTGCACTGAATCGTCGATCAAGCGTCATGTGTGTGTGTGTGTGTGTGTGTGTCTGTGTGCACCGCAGGTGGTGACGGCACGTGGCTGCATCGGCTGCCCGACGCCGTGGCTGCCTACGAGAAGGTCCGTGTGCCCAGGGCGTCCGTCGTCCAGCAGTTCTCTACCATGGTAACGTCTTTCTCTCACTGTCCCCCACACCCACCGTTGAAACATCGTGTGTGTGTGTGTGTGTGTGTGTCAGGTGGGCGACGCCGAGCGTGAGGGTCGTCGCGTGTCAGGAAAGAAGCTCAGCGAGCTGCTGGTGTCGTTCAAGGGGTGGATCAACAAGTTCCCCGACACTGAGGGGCAGCCCAGCCTCAATGACCTGGCCGAAGACGACGGTGGCGACGAGGCCGCCAAACAGTGAACTAACGAGTGTTGGCCGGCAGAGATTTCGTGTGTGTGTTGGGGGGGGGGGGGGGGG